AAAAAAAAAAAAAAAAAAGAATGAAGATCATGACTAAAAATAACTATCCAATGGTAGTAGATGCTATTTTTATCACAGTATAATATTGTTCCCAAAATTTGACTTAGAGTACTTTTGTAAGAAAATAGATTAGTCACTTTGTGAAAGTTTGTAAAATATTGTAGATTTATTTCAATTTTTCAATAAATACAAGTTATTGTGATATGATTGTGAGTTAAAAAAAAAAAAAAAATTATTATAATTTAATTAATTATGTATTATTATATAAATAATATTAAATAATATATAAATATAAATGATTTTTTTTGTAAATTTTATAAATTTTTGGACAAATAGTTGTCAAATTTTTAATAAATAGTTAACAAATTTTTAATAAATAATTTAATTAATAGTTGCTAAATTTTTAATAAATTGTTAACAAATTTTTAATTAATAGTTTTGATGAATAGTTACTAAATTTTTAATAAATAGTTGATGAATTTTTGACAAATTTTTGATAAATTATTAATAAATTAATGCTAAATTTTTATTGAATTGTTAATAAATAATTTTGTAATGAACTTTTAATGAATTTTTGCTAAATTGTTAATGAATTATTATAAATTTTTTAACAATTTATTGTTAAACTTTTAATTAATAAATTCTTGATTGCCAAATTTTTTTATTGTCAAATTTTTGATTGCTAAATTTTTAATTACCAAATTTTTGATTATCAAATTTTTAATTGTCAAATTTTTGATTGTTATTTTATTACTAAAATAGTAATATGCTGAATGGCAACAAATTTAATTAAATTCAATAATAATTCAATTATAGAATGACACAATTTCAACTAGTACCGGTAAACTCTATCAAATAGTAATCATATCTTATTATTGATAAGAATAACAATAGACAATCCGCTAAGAAATAAAAACTTTTTCCATTGATTCTCTGCCTATATACAAAAAAAAATATTTGTAAGAAATTTTTTTATTTCTTTGTTAATAAAGTCTTAATACTATCCTTAAACTAATTTAAAGTTTTACTTTAAGAGATATTCCTAAACTTTTCTTTTGTTTATATTTATTTTTAAACAAAAACTTGACTTTCGATAACCTAGAAAAGTCAAGAAACATTTTTTCTACCTATAGCAAGAAAGTTTTAAAAGGAAGAAGAATTAATAGTATAGTATTTAAAATCTTTTATATTAAAGCATGTCTATAGATATTATCTGCAGTAGGAGATGACAAATATCAAGTCATATTTCAAAATGTTTATCCACTGTTTCTTCAATTTTATAGTCATCCAAAATTTTTTTTTGATTTTCTGGAAAATTTTTCCTATTTTAGTTTGATCCTAAATTTTAGTTAATATAATTCATTGCAAAATATAATCTGTGGATATGAAACATGTTAGTAACTAAATGTAAATAAGTATCTACTGATTACTTTATATGTTCTAATAATATCATTAGTGATAGGAAGAGTTGATTGATGTCCCGTTTCTGCCTTGTTTCTTCAATTGGATTAATCTACAGACCAAGTACTATAAGGCCAATAAGATACAAGTAACAAGTTACCAGATGGTAAAAAAGCTACTATTTGTTTAAGCTGAGATCTTTCTCTCTTATTATTCTGATCAAGTAAAGTTCAAGACCAAGATTTTCCTTTTATTTCAATTAGACAATAAGACTGAATGGTTTTTAGTCCATGCTAAACTTTAATCCTTTGATTATAGCTAAGAATGCATTTTTTCAAAAGTTATTGAAAGATATTGTAATCAATAAGGATCTCTATTACTTTCAAGATACTTCCACCATTATAAAATAAAAAAATTGTTGTAAAATTTGATCTTTTGGATAACGGAATATGTATACTAGTAAAATTTCTTTAATTAGATGTGGCTGCTAAAAGATATTATACTGAAACAACATGGTTTAGTTTCTATTGGATCACATAGAAACTTGAAGTCTATTATAAGTCACCTCTTTACTATAGGTGGATAAAAAATTAATGTCTAAAGAAGGTTGTGACAAAGTATATTTCAGAAGTAAAGGCTTCTACTAGATGATAAATCTCCTTAGATAGTACACAAAAAGAAAATCCAGATCTAAAATGAATAAATTTCTTAGATGGTCAGAAGAAGAAAAAATATCTCAATCAAATATTTCTTATTAAGAAAAAGTCTTGAGAAGTAGGTCTTTGAAAAAAGTTAAAGAATTTTATTTTCTTTTTTCTTTTCATTTTTTTATACATCTACTTAGATATTTTTAGATATACATTTTTTCTTTTTTTCAATCCATCCTTTTGTAATTTCCTGTATTCTAACAGTTTGATACAGTATATAGCAGTAACAATCTGTTAGCAATGATGCAGTGGACTAGGGGAACCTTTATTCAAAGACACTGCAGAGTGAAATATTGTTCTCAAGGTTGAATTTAGAGGTATTTATGTTTATAACAAGTTAGTTAAATAGAATGAAAGTAGTTTAGCTATAGTATTTATTATGTTGCTCGAATAAAAGATAATTTGCTAAAAAATTAAATTCAAGAATAGTAAAAAACAAAAGAAAAGAAAGTTACTAACTCAATTAACTCAACAGTAGAACAATAGAAGAATTTAAAATATTGAACAAAACTTTGACTTCTTAAATTTGATTTATAGTTCTTTTTCAAAGACTAAAAAATAATTTACAAAAATCTGATGATATTTAACAAAAGCTCAAAATAATAAATATCAAAAGTATATATAAATATTTTAAAAAGAAAAGAATCTATTTTATCTTTAATAAGAAAGCTATATCAGAACCAGTAATTTCAAGAAAAAACTTTGATACTTATAAAGAAGTCAACAAAATCCGCTTCTTTTTAAAAAAAATATAGGCAAGCTAGGATTTAGCAACTTTACAAAATATAAAAATGCTATTCATAGTTTATATAGTCTATATAAAGAGGTTCTTGATGGAAAACTCTATATTTCAAAAATTAGAAGAAATTTAAAAGAAACTTAAGATTATTACTAATATAAAGCATACCTTTAGAATAATATATAGTATAAGAAAAAAGAAAATCTACATATCAAAAACCAAATTAAAAAGACCTTGGAAATTAGGTGTGAGGATCTCAGAACCAATCAAAGGCAAATGTTAAATTCAAATTTGAACCAGAAAAGATCCAAGATAATTTTAGATCGGATATAGAATTAATGACTTGAAGTATAGCAACTTGGATAAAGTAGGTGCCTGGATCGATAGAAAAACAGTTAATAGTATTAACAGTGAGTAGCGGGAAAGGAACTGTCTTCTATGGGTTAAGGCCCAACAGGCTAAATAAGCAGGCAATGGTTTTTAATTGCTTTTTCTTCCTTGAAACATCCTGCTACTCAATCATTTTTACTTTTATTTTTACTTAGCTGGCCGGCCTTTCTCATATATTATTTTATGAAAAAAATAATTTAGCATTGAAGCTCTGTTTCTCGAAAAAAAAAAAAATAATAATGCCCTTTTTGATCAGTGTATGCGTGATGAATAATTTTTCTTCGTTATCTTTGATTCACTGGAGATTGTATACTGTATATTCAGAAACTGCCAAATTTCGAGACCAGAGTTACATCACTATCATGTGAGTATTTATTGCAAAAAGACAGGATTATATTAAAAATCATTAATATGCGTAAATTGAACGGTCCGATTTTTGTATGAGTTTTGCCAGTATTTAAATCATAATAATATCGTCAGAAAATCCACAGAACCCATCATCATCAGAAAAACCACTATCATTATCATCCTCTTCATTGTTATCGGAGAATTCGTCATCATTTTCATTATCTCTAATTGTGTTAGTATCCTTACGAAATGAGATATCTTCGTCGTTATCATCAGAAAGTACTCCACCGAAATTATATTCTTCTTCGCTATTGTAGAAATCCTTGGAGGCATCAGATGTATTCTCAACTGGAAGCTGGTTCACGTCTTCCAAATTAGAGGTATGATATGATGGGATAGAGGGAATAAATGTAACACTTATCTCAGTTTCTGGTAAAGTTTCTTCGCATACTTTAGTTTTTATATCAGATTTCGGTTGGCCATGTGCGCGTGAAGAAT